CATTAGCACCTCTAGTAATGTATTTACTGAGAAAAATGGTGACGTGTTCAATACTTATTTTACCCGCAGTATACTGTTACTGTGACAGTAGCATAAATTTTGTTTTGAATAAGTCATACCCCTGAATCAATATTTGCTGGAAGTAAGTATTGAGAGAGTAAAGAGTAAAGAAAACATATCAGGTAAGACTAGAACTTGGGTGTAGCTCTGCAGCTGCTGGGATCTCCAAACAACTATCAACAGTTTTAAGACCATTGTAGATAAACTGGCCTCAGACAAATCAAAGGAGTTTTCACACAAAATACATCAACTTCTAAAAGGAAAAGGGTATTTGGTACTGGTTGGTAAAGGTAGGGGTTAGTTGTGTAAACATGAAAAGATGCAAGTTCATAACCAGCTTCTACAAAAATACCATCTTAGTACTTTCCACAGTCGGAAAATACTCTCTATGAAAGTTTAACATTCACAAGATACTACATGGTTTATAAAAAGCTTGATTTTTGCCTCTTCTCCATAATATGTACATTTGTTTTGGTTTATTCATTATGACTTTGTATCTTTCCAGTCCTTAAAAACACACTTGAGAAAAAAGAAGGGATTTTGTAATTTAATTAGACAAACACCATAACAATGGCACGAACGTGGATTGAGGATATAAAACTCCCAATTGTAGCACAATACTTGGTACATTTTGATAGTGTCTACATTTTTCTATTTAGTTCCATTTAACCTGTGTTATATTTGTTTGGTTGTGCATATAATGTATATTTGTAAATATACACTGAAAAAAACTGTGATTGGGGTTAAATAGTATCTAATAGGCAACTAATAGTAACTGTTAACAAAAATGTGTATGTGCAGTTTTAATTCATTGTAAGCAAAATTTAACATTTTTGAGATTTAAGTAATTTAAATTTATTTATTTTTCTTTTACAGTAAAACAAGCAATGATTTRTTTAGCAGATTTTAATACAAATATATGAGTATCATAAAAACTTAGAAAATTTCGTAGATTTTACTAATGATAGCACTTTGATTTTAATCACTCTACACTTCTGCCATCTTAGTTGCACATCCATGTGCACACACAGGCTTTGGGAGTGGACACCCTCTATTTTGTCAGAGGTAAGACAATCTTAACTTTTTGGAATGTATGATAAATTTCGAACAACAGGGAAACACTCTGTACCAGAGATTCTCAAACTGGGGTCCGTGAGAGGTAGCTTGGTTATCTTGAGGACCCCCAAGATACCTCTCATGGATCCCAGTTTGAGAGGTATCTTGGGGGTCCTCAAAATTTTTTCACTAAATAGTTATTTGGTTTTTATTTTTAAAAATGCATAGAGAACAATAAACTAATAAAAAACACAATAAATGAATAAAAAAAATATATTCCCATGGCATTTATGGGTTGAAATGACAATAAATTATCTTTTAAAACAGCATGGGGTTTATGAGGGGGTCCCTGAAATTTTTTCGCCCTTGTAAGGGGTCCCCAGACCCAAAAGGTTTGAGAACCCCTGCTCTATACAGTGTGTTAAGTCAAAATTAGATTTGCAATGATCACTGTAATGATAGTATTATATTTGTAAGCAAAAATACCATGAAGTAGAGTAGACTGTTAGTACAAGCCCACTTTCTATAGCTTCACAGTTGTGTAATTTCAAAACCTTTACATTTTATCTTGTGAAAACTCGCTGATTTTTTTAAACTACACATACTGTAATTTTTTTCTTAGGTGAATAATGATATATTTCTAAATTTTTGTGTGATTATTTTTGGGATTAAAAAGATTTTATGTACAGACTGGTCTGAATTGCTTGACGTTATGGTCACTCAGAGCAGGAAGTGCATTTAGTTTGAAACGTGCCTGATGACATTTACAACACATAGAATTTGGAATAAAACATAAACTGGATCGAAGACGTGTTTGAAGATGGGATCCAGGAGCAGGAACTGTTTCCCCTAGTGATGTAACAGTTGTWGGTGGGATCAGGTCTCAAAGAAGCTGTTAAATGTGGATGCATTTCCTGTCTCAGGGCCAATCACAGACTAGAGCAATAAAATCACTCTTGGTCCAGTGCTGTGGTGGTTGCACGAGTCTTTTGACATTCAAACATTCAAGTGTTGATATTTCTATTTTTTTGTGAACATGTAATGGAGGAACCGAGCACACTTTATTTTTCACTGTGATTATATTTCTAAAATTATTTATTCAAGTTTGATATTTTGAGAAAATTGTTAAAGTAAAATTATAGGATAAAGTTGGTGCAAAAGAAAAACAGTCCTGCTGGTTGTTCCCTCGTTCATGCCATGGTTATGTCTGCACGTTTAAAGCTGTACATGACAAATACACACTCTGAATCACAACTAGCTGTCATCCAGATAGGTGGAGAAAAGTTGGGCATTTGTGGGAGGCTAACACTTTGTCCTGTCACATTTGGTACTTTGAGCATTTGGATGTTGACACTCGGCAGAGTGCTTGTTATAGTTCTGTGGAGAGAATAACAGAGCAAAACAGGAAAAATCAGAAAACTGAATCAAATGAATGACAACGTTATCCATCTTTGATAGTCACATTTTTAAAAAGCACCATTTCATTTAGGAAGATACTTCTTAG